TCTTGTAATTACTGAACCACTTTGGCTGTTAGTTAAGCAGCACCTTGTGTCATAGAAGGTGTGTAACGTATTATCATTGGAGATTTGAATTTTAAAATTGAGTTAGATGGATGTGGGGTCAGCTCTGTGAAGGTAATCATTTTTAAATGGGTTAGAAAGACATTTGGAACAGTGACCCAAGTACATCAATTCTAAAAAAAGCAGTCAAGCACCTTCTAGAACACATGTAGCGTTAATGGATAGAACGTGCATACTGTTGAGCTTACAAAAGACCAGAATGTCATTAGTGTTAGCTGCAAAGTTCAATCCAAAAATAATCAGAAGATCATTTCAGAAGGGAGAACAGAAGAGTCAATCTATTGGTTCAAGGGAACCAACTAACATAGCCAACGTGTTTTGATTCGTGGAGCTTCTGAACCAGGAGAGCTTAGACAGAAATCATCGGGTTGTTGGAATTGAAGAAGTTTAGCCCATCAGATTGTGAAAAGTGATGGCCTACAAACTCAAAGGAATCACAGAATTGTTTCCACAACTCAAGGAAAATAAAGTAGGAGATATCAGTGAAGTAAAAATTTAAAGTGTTGAGGTGATATTTCTCTGGAATTGATACTTGCAAAAGGATAGTGTTGGGAAACAGGTTGAAAGAGCCTCTACAGGTAAATTATAAAAAAGAAAGAGAGTAGCTAAAGTAAGTGCAGGTTCCTCAGAGGGTGCAATTGTGGAATTGGTTTTCTCTTTTTCCACCACCTCCTTCTGATCCCCATCTCAATCCTTTGCCCCTTCCCCACTCTCCTCCCTCCATCCATTTGTGTTGAATTTTCCTAACTTTCCCCACTTCTCTTTCTCCCTCTCTCCTTTCCCCTTCCTGGCTAGTGAGATTGTGGAATGATAACATGGAACCAGGGAAACGGCAGACAATTTAAGCCAAAGTTTCACAAAAACAGACCAGTCACCAAGACCTGATGGTCTGCATCCAAGTGTTTTGAAGGGAGTGGCTTCAGAGATGGTGGTGGCAATGGTCGGAATATTATAGAACTCACTGAACTCTGGGAGGGTTCAAGCAGAAAATGCAAATGTGATGGGCCTATTTAAGAAAGGGGGGAGACAGAGAGCAGGCCAGTGTGGCCTAATGTCTGTTGTTGGGAAAATGCTGGACTCTATTATTAAGGAAGAAATGGTGAGACCATTAGAAAGGTGTAACACAATCAAACAGAATCAACATAATTTTGCGAGAGGGAAATTATGTTTGATAAATTTGCTGGAGTTCTTTGAGGATATAAAGCAAAGTGGAGCCAGTAGATGTATTTTTGGATTTCCAGAAAGCATTCAAAAAATTTCCACATAAAAGGTGATTGCACAATGTCACAGTAATAGAGGGTAATATATTAGCATGAATTAAGTATTGGTTACCACACAGAGGACAGACAGTCGGGATTAATGGGTCTTTTATCATGTTGGAAAGACGTATCTAGTGGAGTGCCATAAGGATCAGTCCTAGGGTCTCAATTATTTACTATTCATACTAACGGCAGGTCTCTTGTCCCTAGGGTGGGGCATTTCAAGACAATGTCTAAGAGGAGAGGAAAATGATTTGAAAAGGCCATGAGGGACAACTTTTTTTTTTACACAGAGGATGGTTGATGTATGGAGTGAACTTCCAGAGGAAGTAATGGATGCGAGTACACTTACAACTCTTAAAAGACATTTGGATTAGTACATGAAAAGGAAAGGTTTGGAGGAATATGGGCCAAGAACAAACAGGTGGGATTAGTTTAGTTTGGGATTATCCATGGCATGGACTGGTTGGACCGAAGGGTCTGTTTCCGTGCTGTATGACTCTATGACTGAGAGGAGAGGGCAGAATGTAATGTATCCAAGTTTGCTGACAACGCAAAAATAGCAGAGATTGCATGTTATAATGAGGACGTACGGAATCTGCAAAGGGATAATTTACAGGTTGTATGAATGGGGAACAAACTTGGCAGATGGAGTTTAATGTTGGAAAATGTGAGATCATGCACTTTGGTGGGAAGAATGAAAAGGCAAGACCAGTATTTAAATAGGGAGTGAGACTCTAGAAAGTGGAGATAGTTAGAACTGCCGATGCTGGAGTCTGAGATAACACAGTGTGGAGCTGGATGAACACAGCAGGCCAGGCAGCATCAGAGGAACAGGAAAGCTGACATTTCGGGTCGGGACCCATCTTCAGAAATGCGGGAGGGGAATGGGGCTCTGAAATAAATAGAGGGGGGGGGTTGGACTGGAGATGGTAACAGCAGGTAGGCAGTGGTGGGGATTGGTCAGTGAGGAGGGAGGAGCAGATAGGTGAGAGAGAAGACAGACAGGTCAAGGAGGTGGGGACGAGAGGGAGGGTTGGTCTTGGGATGAGGCCGGAGGTGGGGAGATTTTGAAACTAGTAAAGTCCACATTGAGACCATTGAGTTGTAGGCTCCCAATGTGGAATATGAGGTGCTGCTCCTCCAGTTTCCGGGTGGCATCATTGTGACACTGGAGCAGGCCCAGGATGGACATGTCATCCAGTGAGTGGGAGGGGGAGTTGAAGTGGTTCGCGACTGGGAGGTGTTGTCGTTTGTCGCAAACCAAGTGTAGGTGCTCTACAAAGTGGTCTCTGAGCCTCTGCTTGGTCTCACTGATGTAGAGGCCACATCGGGAACAGGGGATATAATAAACCACATTAGCGGATGTGCAGGTGAACATCTGTTTGATGTGGAAGGTTTTTTTGGGGCCTGGGATGGAGGTGAGGGGGATAGTGTAGGGGCAGGTGTAGCACTTCCTGCGGTTGCAGGGAAAGGTGCCGGGGGGGTGGTGGGGCTGGTGGGGAGTGTGGAGTGGACGAGGGAGTCGCGGACAGAGCGGTCCCTCCGGAAGGCAGATAAAGGGTGGGGAGGGAAATATATGCTTGGTAGTGGGGTCAGATTGCAGGTGGTGGAAGTGGCGGAGAATGATTATCTGGAGGTTAACGGGCTGATACTTGAGGACAAGGAGGATTCTGATGAAGGGTCTAGGCCCGAAACGTCAGCCTTTCTGCTCCTGTGATGCTGCTTGGCCTGCTGTGTTCATCCAGCTCTACACCTTGTTGTCTCGGATTCTGTCTTTGTTTTTATTGCGGGGAGGGGGTGTGAGGGCTGAGGTGTGGGAATCGTAAAAGATGTGGTCGAGGGTGTTTTCGACCGCTGGGGGGGTGTTGCAGTCCTTGAAATACGAGGACACCTGGAATGTTCGGGAGTGGAATGCCTCATTTTGGGAGCATCTGTGTTCATCCAGCTCCACACCTTGTTATCTCAGACTCTAGAAAGTGCAGTGCAGAGGGATCGGATGTTCTTGTGCATGAAACACAAAGTTAGGTTACAGGTGCAGCAAGTTACTAAGAAGGTAAATGGAATTTTGGATTCAATGTGAGAGCGTTGGAATTTTACAATAGAGAAGTCATTTTACAACTATACAGGGTATCAGTGAGGGCACACTTTAAGTACCCAGTACAGTATGATGTCCATATTTAAGAAAGGATAGACTGGTGTTGGACAGTCAAAAGAGATTCACTAGACTGATCCCTGGAATGATTTATCAAGAAAAGGTAAGGAGGATGGGTCTTTATCCATTGGAGTCTAAAAGAATGAGGGGTGATCTTACAGAAGCAGACAAGATTCTGAGGGGTCTGGACAGGGAGGATACTGAGAAGATATTACCACAGGTGGGGGAATCTAGACATAGTTACAGAATAAGGGCACACTCATTCAAAACTGCAGTGTGAAGGAATCACCTCTCTCAGAGGGTAGCGAATGTCTGGAACTCTCTATCCCAAGGAGCTGTGGAGCCTAGATCACTGAAAATATTTAAAGAAGAGGTGGATAGATTTTTGAAATTTCAAGGAGTGAGGGCTATAAGGAGTCTGGACAGGGTTTAAGTGCCAACTGGCCTACTCTTGCAGATTTTTCTTTTGTTCTTATGAACCTTTGTTTTGTTGTTTGTGTTAAGGTTTCTCTAACGGTCTATTTACATTTGGCTGCGTTGTTTTTAAATCACTCTTTTGTAACAAAATGTTTTTGTTTTGTCGTTAAAGGCCATCTGCACCTTGTGTGAATATGTTTCAAGCACTAATCATCATGGCAACCAACCGCAAAAATCAAACTTATGACCTATCAAGCCAGGTTGCACTCTGGGATCAGACTTTTCCAGCACCTGGGCTAAGTTAACTTGGTTTTAAAATCCTTCTCCTTTTTTAACCAATTCCTCCAGGGCCTCAAATGCCCCTATTTATAATCACCTTTAACTCCGTTACCCTCTGAGATATTAGCCACACTCTACTTCTGAAAGGACTGTTGAAAGGACCGTTATTCCGAACTCTTTTTCTCTATTTTGCGAATTTATTGCTGGACTTTTTGTTTCTTTATTTTTCTAAATATTTTCCCCCTAAGAATTTGCACTTGAGAATTTGTACCTATGATGGCACCACAAGTGGCAACTTGCAAACCTTTCACTGTCCTTCCGCGTGAATATGTGACAATAAAGCCAATTTTAAATTCCAGCTCATCCCAGGTTTCAGCTCCAGTGTTGGCAGCCATCTCTACAACACTCTGAGGTGATTACTCAGAATTCCCTCTTTAAATCTGTCCATCTCTCTCCTTAAAAACCTATCTCTTCAATCAAGATTCGGGTTACCTGTCTAAATTCGTTATGTTATCACTTAAAAGACGCTCCTGTCAGGGACATTAGCACTCTACAAAATACAGGCTCTTGTTTTTTGATTATATGCATCTCCAGACCTCAGCATATTCCCACATTTGAGTGACAGAGGCAGGGGGTAGTTACGGAGGGAAGGATGGGATGGGGATGTGAGGTATTGTTGTGTGTGTGTGTGTGTGTGTGTGTGTGTGAGAGAGAGAGAGAGAGAGAGAGGCCAGGGTAACACAGGGACAGGATGGTAACACCGTGCTGTGAACTGTGGTTCAGTCAAAGCAGCAGCCAAGGCACTGACTCACTTTGTCCAGTATATACTTGTTCAAATAAGGCATGTATCCATGGCTGGAAACAGGCCCATCATTGTCATCACGGAAGTGGTCCTCCAGGATCTTGGGGTCATGGGGAATATTCAACACTGTGTACAGGTTGTAGGACAGCACCTGGAATACACAAAGGATCATTTCAGAGGGCCCCATCAAAACAGCAAGTCACCAACTCAACTTTCCACTACCAAACAGGCAGTCTCACCGTCTACTCCAGCTCTTTATCTCATCCAGCCGAGATCCACCCTCTCCACTTCCTAGCCTCATGCTTCCTGCTTTTTATCCAATTCCACGACCTCTCCAAATGATTGCTCCCAGTTCTTTCATTCCCACTCTTTATGGTTCATTACTCACCACTGTCACTGTTGTTGAGCAGAATATTACATACTTTATAAAGGCAGTAAATCATTGCTTTAAAAAAAACTGGGCATAAAATCGCACAAAATGGCTCCCAGAATTCACATGCCAGCTCTTGCTGACTCACTTCAGTCAATAAAGCAGAGGGACTGATGTGTCATCTCGACATCACACACGAATGGAAATATTTAGAATAAATTAACCCTCGGGCAACACAATTTGTCGGTCTAAAGGTGCAAAACTTCAGAGCCATTAAGAAAGGAGGAGACTTGAAAGGCACCACAGGGAATTCTAGTATAACTGACTTTGCTTTGTGCAAAAATGATTCATCGACAGTAACATAGTAGCCATTTTGTTGTGACAAGATAAGCTGTGGAAACGGCATTTTGGCAGAGCAGCCCAGGTCTTTGAGAGACACCGGCGAAGAGAGGGTTCCCAGTTAAAGGGGGGCATAGCAGAAGGTCTTTCAGCATCTGCTCTTCCACAGAAAGAACACAGGCCGTCTGCCTGTGCTGTAAAGGCAGAACTAGTGAGGAACAAACAATCTGCTTTCTCTCTCAAAGCTTACTACACTTACTGAGTCCATCTTAGAACTAACCACCAACAATGTGACAAAAACCATCAAGGCTTCTGAACTCTGGCCTCAAGGTTTCAACACCTTTTACTTCAGAAAGAGAATCTTCGAGCAAGCAACAGGATCTGAAAAAAGACTAATCTTATTTTCGTCGTCAGTATTTTATCCATAGTTACTTTTAATATTTGTATTTATACTTTTAGTAAATAACTTTTTCACTTGTACTTAAGTATCCGACAGAAATAGTTTGGCAAGAGAAAAACATTTAAGAGATTGGCAGCTATTTGGCACACTTGATAAACAATAAAGAAGTCTAAATGAGTGATACAAATTTCTGGTTCATGGACCACTCAATGCGCGTCCTCATGTAATTATGACACCGCACTTGCACTCATTAACATGACTTAATGAAGTCCAATACAGCCTACTCTAATTTATTATTATACTCAATAACACTAAATCCAAAGAATTGCAGATGTTGGAAATCAGAGACAAACACAGAAATTGCTGGGCAAACTCAGCAGGTCTGGCAGCATCCGTGGAGAGAAAGCAGAGTTAAGGTTTTGAGTCCTCTTCTTCAGAATATTATTAAATAGGGGACAGAAACAGACCCTTCGGTCCAACTCGTCCACGCCAACCAGGTTTCCCAAACTAAACTAGTTCAATTTGCCAGCTTTTGGCCCGTATCCCTTTAAATCTTTCGTATTCATGTATCTATCCAAATGTCTTTTAAATTTTGCAACTGTACCTGTATCTACTACTTTCACTGGCAGCTCATTCCACATACAAACCACACTCTGTGTGAAAAAGTTGCCTCTCTGGTCCCTTTTAAATCTTTCCCCTCTCACATTGAAATTATGCCCCCTTGTTTTGAACACCCCCAACCTTGGGAAAAGACCTTTGCTATTCACCTTATCTGTGCCCCTCATGATTTTATAAACCTCTGCAAGATCATCCTTCAGCATCCTACACTCCAGTGAAAAAAGTCCCAGCCTCTCCTTATAACTCAAACCCTCCAGTTTCAGCAACCTCCCTGGTAAATCCTTTCTTCATTTTCTCCAATTTAATAATGTCCTTCCTTTATTAGGGCGACCAGAACTGTACACAGTACTCCAGAAGTGGCCACATAATGGTAAAGTGGGAGTTATACTGGGAAGACTGTAGATTGTGGCTGTATACAAGTCTGCTGCCCATGGATGCCCAGTTCTTAGTTGCTCACACCAAGGCAATGCCTCGATATAGGGCATCCTCAACGTGGAGATGGAACTTGGAGTATCTCCAGGGATTGTTCAGTGGCCACTCTTACTGATACTGTCATTGATAGAGGTGATAGGCCTTAGAAAGGATACTGACGATTGCCAAGATGATACCAGGGATGAGGGACTTCAGAACAGAAGTGTTCTATTTGGAACCGAGAAAGTTAAGAAGTGACCTAAAGACTGCTTTCAGAGTAACAGGAGGGTTTTGAAAGGTTAGACAGAGAAAAATGAATCCCTCCTGTTGGTGGGATTTGGGGTAGATCATTTAGGATGGAGATGAGGAGACATTTCTTCACCCAAAGAGTGGTGAGCCTGTGCAATTCATTACCACAGGAAGCAGTTGATGCCAAAACATTGAATGTATTCAAGAGGCGACTAGATAAAGCACTTGGGGCGAATGGGATCAAAGGTTACAGGGAGAAAGCAGGATTAGGCTACTGAATTGGAAGATCAGCCATGATCATGATGAATGGCCAAGCAGGCTCGAAGGGCCGAATGGCCTCCTCCTGCTCCTATCTTTTCTGTATCAATGATTTTATGCTCACATAGAAACAAAGTCTGGAGATGCAAATGGGAAACACATTTTCACTCAAAGTCAACAAGGTGCAGAGCTGGATGAACACAGCAGGCTAAGCAGCATCATAGCATCCTATGATGCTGCTTAGCCTGCTGTGTTAATCCAGCTCTGCACCTTATTGTCTTGGATTCTCCAGCATCTGCAGTTCCTACTATCTCTGATTTACTCAAAGTCTCCTGGATCTGGAACACAAAATGGAAAGGTGGGGGAAGCTGTTTTGAGAAATAATTTTACACATTGGTTGAAGTGGTAAGAGTTAGCACTAAGCACAATGTCTCTTGCAAACAGCCAGAACAGACAAGAAGCACAAATGGCCTCTTTTTGTAGTGTGGGTTTCAGTGTTTCCAGGATTACCCCTCACTCACTCTGGTTCTCACCAGCTTGTTCCTTGCCATACTCTCCACTTCCCTGTGTTAGAATTTAAATGAATTCCCCCAAAACAACCCACTAAGGCAATCATTCTTCCATTAGCGTTACAGGTCCAGCAACCCTTCCTTAGAAACATTAACTCTGATTTCTCTTCACAGATGCTGCCAGACCTGCTGAGCTTTTCCGGCAATTTCTGTTTTTGTTTCTGATTTACAACACCCGCAGTTCTTTTGGTTTACATTCTTCTGTTAGTGTCTACTGTACATGTAATTTTGGACAAACCTGGCTCTTATAACCCCTGTTAAATCAGACTGTTGTTAATGGATTGAGGGAAACTGTGGTGACTGCACTCTGACACAACATTGCATATAGGACACAGGTCTGGTGGCAGGGGGTGTTGGGGGAGTGCTGGGATGGGGAGTTCAGAGAGAGGGGTGATTGTTAAAGAGCCTGCAGCACAGAGATCTTTTCCCTCCAATTAAACTGGACATGGAAACAGGTAAATCCGTCTCAACGATTTTCATTAGCATTCAGACTCGGTGGCATGTGTCTATCCCCCGAAACCTTTTGAAGGGTCTAGGTCCGAAACGTCAGCCTTCCTGCTCCTATGATGCTGCTTGGCCTGCTGTGTTCATCCAGCTCTACACCTTGTATTCTCAACAATTCAATCTCCTCCTTGTGAGCCAATTAGTGCACCAACTTGTTGTACGGAGTCCCTTTACCAGTCTCCAACCGTCCCCCCCACCCCCAACACAAACAAACAAACAAACAAACAAACATACCCCATCAGGAAACTGGTACAAAAGTGCATCAGAAAACACTTTAGTTTGAAAATTGAAAGTGTCTCCTCACACCTTGACCATTGGAGACAGCGAAGGTTTGGCTCCTCAGACAGTGCAGCACTCCCTCAGTACACCACTATAAGGTCAGGCTGAACAGACAGAGTTCAAATGTCAAGAGTGGGGCTCGACCCCTACAACCGGGGTGTCTCTGGTTAACAAAAGCAACACTGATGTTTATAACGACGCTGTCTCTTTGCACCAGCAGAGTGCAAAATATTTTGAGATACCCCGCGTTCTCACTCTATCCCTGCCCCTCCTCGGGTACTTGGAGTTGAGTTGAGGTTACCTTGAGTTGAGATTTAGAGACTTTTCCACTCTGTTCCAAGTCCAGGGCGGTGAAAGCGTACCAGATGGATTTCAGCAGCTCGTTTTTTAGATCCATGCTGTTTAGGAGCTGCCGGAGGAATGGGAAACACAAAAACCGAACAGGCAAACTGCCCAGTCTGTAACCTGATACGTCCACTGCAGCTCAGAGCTTGTTGGAAAACTTCCCCCTTCTCACTGCATTCACTTCCAGTCAACAATACAATGCCCCCGTCCCTGATCGCCAAACGCACTCCACCTGTTCTGGGGCTTGTGTGTATGTCAGAGTTTCTCTATTCTAAACTTCCGCTCGCACTACCTCTCTCTCTCTCTGTGGTCAGGCGAAGCCACCGGTAGCCGAGCAGCTGCATGTGGGGGCGGGGTTCTGTCGCTCTCAGAGACCGGCTCTCATTCCCCACCACACCGGGGCATAGCCAACAGACCCCTCTGTATAACCTTCAGATAATTCCTGTGTGACAAGACAGAGAGAAATTCAAACAGTCTCGATGTTTAGTGTCACAAAACATACTTCACTGAGGGGTTAGCGACCAGGGACATCGACTTGTAAATAGTGTGCTAGACATTGATCAGTGAGTGGATAGAAACTTTGACCACTCAGTGGGTAAAGACAGTGACCAGTGAGCAGGTAACGGTAGTGACCAGTTAGTGGTTAACAACTGCAGCAACTATAGTCAAGCTACATACACAGACACCCATATCCAGATGTACACATTGAAATGCACACAACTTAAACACTGAAATATGCAGAATGACCCACAGAAATACACACAGATGTACACTCAGAAATACACACAGATGTACACACAGATGTACACACTGAAATACACACTGATTAACACTGAAATACACACAGATGTACACACTGAAATACATACAGATTAACATGCTGAAATACACACAGATGTACACACTGAAATACACATAGATGTACACACTGAAATACACACAGATTAACACACTGAAATACACA